ATGAACATAAATTCGATTCATATGACACATAGATGATCCAGTTGTAACATGCTAGTCATCTCTCCACATTACGCACTCAAAACATTTTACACTATCAACGAAATAATAATAATAAAACGAACGATCCTCTGATTTCAAGCAATTTACACGTTTGAGAATTTTTCATTCAAATAAATTATTTGTGTAATTTTGAAATATCACTACGGGTCACTCCTAACTTGACTTCAACAGTAAAAGTCAAACCATTTCGCGAGCCACAAAAGGGCATTGTTCGCCCTCCTTTTTAAAATAGAAATGTTGCTGCAAAGTCTCATCAGACTTACTACCTTAGTGGTCTTATTAGGATGATAACTCTTATATAGATATGTACATTGAAACCTCCTCTATATAATAGAGAAAACAGTTTCTTGATATCTTTTTGCATTGGAGAGTTATTCAAAGATTATGAAACTTGAAGAACCGTACTGTATTTAGCATGGTGGATCTGAAAGAGTTAGTTAGAATATTTTTTTTGGTCGGATATATCTGCGAACACAGTTTGTGCTTTATAAGTAGATAAAGTCAATAGAGAAGCTTCTTTATTTTAAAGTTCATCAATATGAAAACGAATTCAGCAGAAAATAAGATTTCGATTGTCATCCAGTTTTTAACGTACTCTGGGCTGATATATATTTATATGTAACGATTATCTTTTGATTTTCTGTGCAAGACGAACTTCGAAGTAGTTCGAACAAATATTTCCATCTAATTTTATATTTAATGCGCTTTTCATCTTTTCCTTTTCTTCAGTCAATAATATGATTTCTTTTTCTTTACTTATCCAAGTTATCATTTAACTATCCCAACCGAATTTCTTTTATGAATTTAACTTTTTCAAACTGGAAGCTCACTTTGAACAAGATAGTCAATCTTGTTGAAAATTTCGGTTCAAAGATAAAGGTTTGATGTTGACACATCGATCAATAAAAGTGCTCAAATTCAACTATTATAATCAGTTCTATTCTACTAAAGAGGCAGTACTGATTTTCATACTTTTTTCTGTTTCGTATGCTTACATATAAAAACAATAATTTTTTGTCTACGGACTTAATATTCTTGTAAAGCAAAATATTCTATGTTTTTTCTTTACAAATCATGCTTCTAGAAACGTTTTAAGGTTCTCGAAAATACAGAAGAAGAAAGGTTCATTCATAATATGCTATCCCTTATACGTGTGTATACATAGTTTCTAATTAAATGTTCATTCGTGGTGTTTTAAAATCTATATTATTGTCCCTACGCGAGTGTTCGGAAATGAAACACTAGTTTCAAGAAATATAATAGCGCAACACATATGAAAAAATAACACGGAACAAATTTCTACTTGTTATAGGATGCGACTGCCGAGCGAAAAGAGTTTATGGCAATAGTCGACTTCACAGCTGTTTTGCAATCATTAGCGACCTTCATACTGCACTCACCTAGTTTTTTAAGCACGATACACATCTCTGATTACTAATGCTGAGCTAACTATGTATTGAAAACTCAATTATTTGAAAATGTTGAAAACTTACACCGATTACAAAAACAAAAAACGAGTGACTGAACTAACTATTATGTGAATATCATCTTTGTTTTTGGTTTAATTTAGTCTATATATATTTTTAGATAAATTTTGAGGAATAAGCTGATGATAATAAAAGAATGAATAATAACCGCTTAGTAATAGTTCTATAGGAATAAATCAGGAGAAAATCAGGATTTTCGATCAAAATCAGGAAAATCAGGACACTTTTAAAAAATCAGGGAAGTAATACGGCTGCGAGGCCTGTTATCACGTATCTCTGTTCTCCTTTTCGTCAAAAAAAAAAACAGAAGTAAATCATATGCCATTTGTGTTTCTATTGAGTTGCTAAATAAAACTATACAGACGAATATTCTATGAGTGCATACATAAAAACGCAGTATCATAATGAATGCCTAACTACTGTCATATTTTGCACATGAATACACAATATCCAGCAGCTTCAATTAATCTTTTTGAAATATATGAAAATTATATACGCATACGAAATAATGTGGGAGTAACGAGAAAAAAAAATGTTATTTTCAATAGAATCTACAATGCACACGCTATATTGACTGAAGACAGCACAAAATATTTCATATTTGCTTAAAACGAGCCTGAAAAACTTTTTCAATTGTTACACAAAATCAAAATGAATGAATGTAAGTGTCTAAACAATGGACAATGTGTGAAGGTCATGGTGAATGCGACAACAACGTATCATTGTGTCTGCAGTGATTGTACACAGGGTGAATTCTGTGAAAATATTCGCTACTATGTACAATATACGATGATATCATCGATGTCAATCGATATTCTCCGTGAAGAAGTAACTACTAAGCAAATGGCCTTAAAGATTATCTATATTTTCGTATTCTCACTTCTCACACTTCTATCATTTAGCAATAGTTATTTGAGTATTGTAACATGTTTTATATATAGAATACGTATTACAGTTTGTGGGCAATATATAATACTCTATTCTATCTTCAGTTTTCTTTGTATAGCGTTACTGGAAGTCATTGCTATTGTAGTGTTGTTGTTCAATGATGAATTGAAGAAACAGCCAATAGTATATTGTCAAGTTATACCAACATTTCTTTATTTAACATTCTATGTATGCCTCTGGCTTAGTGCATTCATTGCTGTTGAACGAGCACTCATTCAGTTTTGTGACTATAGTATTTATCGTACGCGCAAGTATTCAGCTATTTTTTCAATTGTTTTGCTCGTCTTCCTTACTGCAGTAAGTGTTATTACAGCTTTCGGACGGACTGTTGGGGAAAATCCTGATTTGTCAACATCTTACGTCTGTTCGTTTAACCATTATACAAATGAACATATAAAATCAATTGACAAAATTACGGGCAGTTTTTACTTGCATATTGTTGTACCTTGGACATTGCATTTTTTATCAATTCTTCTCACATTAACACATATTATTCGTCACAAAATCACATTGACTGACTTGCAAAGAAATTCATGGTTGTCCCTTATTATTCAACAAATTTCGAGACACAAAGATTTCTTTATACCACCAATAGTGGTTATCGTCTGTACACTACCGGAACGATTGTTGATAAGCATTGCTGGTACATACTGCATAGAGAAAAGTAAGCAAAATGCTTACATCCGATTACATATTGCTCTTGATTTTTTGTATTATATGCCTATGGTGTTTACATTTTTTATCTATATTTATCCATCCAATGTTTACATGAATCGATTCCGTGAAATTAACATAGTCACATGGATTAAGCGAAAAATACTGAATTACAGTTGTTTGTGTAAAGCTTCAAATGTCGTAGCAAGAACCGATGAAGAAACCATTGATGAACAGATCAAAGAAACGAACTTTTGAAAATTTATTGTGGAGGGTGTAGATGTGATTTTTGTTACTCTTAATCTTACTTACATCCACATCCTCAAGCATCCGCCATTAAGGACTATACAGTACCCACATGTATTACCGTATCTGCAAATACAGACACTTTAAACATATAGTGCTTGTATCATTGATAATTTCAGCTTGACAAAAGATACTTCAAATTATGAGTGTGGGTGTGTGAGTGATGAGCAAAGCCACACGCATACTCAGCATTGTTTAAGTTAATCTATTGAAACTTGTGAATCTGTAAATTATCAATACACAAAAAAGATCACGTGTTCACATAATATATCAAATTTTACTTTCATGATTACAATTATACTTACTGACTATTCTGAGAGTGAATTGTTTTAATGATAAATGAAGTGACAGTAATAAGTATTCATTATTTAATATGTTATCTAGGACAGAAGGTTCAGGAAGTATAAGTGTGGCGTTTGAGAAAGAATTATATGAAATTCATTGATGGTCACTTATTTAATTTTCAAATAACGCAGACATGGAAGTCACATTGTTGGCGAAATCTTGAAATTGGATAGACTTAAGCGTGTAGATGTTGTCTTCTCTTTGTTCCCATCCACACCCTCGGTAGATATCATGTAGTTGCTCTATAATAATTTGTTACAACATTTTCATTATTCTTTTTTCTATCCTTACTATTCTCTTGCTTACCTGTTCATAGAAATTTATAACAGGCTAATAAATGCTTGTTATCTGATAAAAGAGGTTTGCGTAAAGAAAAAGAATTTCAACTTTAACTAGTTACGAAACGATAGTGCATAGTAGGTAATATAGTAAAGAAGTTTATAATGGATGATCATCGATTAAATCTTGTTGCCTCCACTACTGATTCAATAGCTAACGTAGTCAATACATCGACAAAAGAAAAGAATGAAGAAATTACATTAATATGGTTTGATAAAAACACTAACATAAATACAGATGATGTGATACATATAAAAGAAATTCTTTGTGAAGTAAACGATTATGTTATTTTCCATGAACAAGAACAAAAATGTATTCAATATATCGAATCAATGAAAGATGAAAAAATATTTTTTGTTTGTACTGATTTATCTTCAACAAATACTTGAACAAATCGATACTATATTCATATTTTTCACACGAAAAGAAAAAAGCAATGAGCAATTAATTCAAGACTATCCAAAAATCATTGGTATATTTACAGAACTAGAAGCATTAATCAGAAGTATTCAAGACAATATTGTATTAGCAGCTAAACAATTGGCAATATTTAATTTATATGATAAAAAGCAAAAATCAACCCGTGATTTGAATCGCAAATCAGCTTAGTTTTTATGGGTTCAAATGTTAAAAGATGTTTTAATAAAAATACCTCAAACATCACATGCCAAAAAAGAAATGCTTAGTTAATGTCGTGATTATTACCGTGAACATAAACGCTAGTTTGAGAACATAGATAAATTTGAATAAACATACGAGCCAAGCAAAGCCATACAGTGGTATACATCTACGACGTTTATTTTTCAACTAGGTAATAAAACTCTTCGAACAGAAAATAAAAATCTTCAAAAATTTAAAAACATGTGCACTTTTACACTCTATCGTGGACTTCAAATGCCATTCAATGGTGTAGAAAATATGTGTAAAAATATTGGAAATTTAATATCGACAAATGGATTTCTATCAACAACACGAAATATAGACGTAGCATATATGTATGCTGGGATTGAAATGCCGACTAATAATGAAAAGATACCAACACTATTCATAATCAATGTTAATATAGAATCACAAACAAATATTCTAGCAGATATTGGAGCAATCAGTATCATTTCAGATGAATCAGAGGTATTATTTGATCTAGGTAGCACATTCAAAATTCATAATGTCTATTATAACAATGTGGAACAGCTTTGGAGAGTTGAAATGACTACTACAGACGAAGACAAAATAATCATTAATTAATATTTACCAAGCACACAAAATAAAGCAGCCTTAGATAATATTATGCATGTACGTGACTTATTTATGAGTGCTGTTCCACCGAATATTCAATTTGCTGCGCACCCGACATCGCCCATTGCTCATGTTTTCTATCGTCAAAAACAATACAAGCAAAGTCTTGAATTTTTCCATGTAGCTCTCGAAATGTATGCAAAAGTAAATAAAACTAAAAAAACAAATGATTTTGTCGATGTATGGTCTAAGCCAGTGGCGGATTTAGGGGGGGGAGCGCTTGGGGTGATCGCCCCCATTCGAAAAAAAAATTTTCGATTTTTCCCAGCAGAAAAGACTTAAAAATAGAGTGCATACTACTACTAATGAACTTCAAAACTCGATTTTTGGTCAAAATCGCCCCTTATCAAAAAAATCCTAGATCCGCCGCTGGTCTAAGCTCGGTGATGTTTATCATGAAATGAATAACAATAGTACTGCTTTAAAGATGCATACTAAAGCCATGAAAATTCAAAAAAAAGCTACTACCATCATCAAATGACTCAACCATTGTAGATTTGTATGAAAAGATCAGTAACGTTTGGTCAAGCAAAGGCAAATATAATAAAGCTATTGATGTCGCTAGAAAAGCATTGAGCATAAAAGAGAAAATATATCCTCCTGTTCATCCATTTATTGCTGAAGCTTATCATCATCTTAGTATAATTCACATGTTAAAAGATGATTATAATGAAGCATTAGAATATATGATAAAAAAAAATGAACATCTATGAAGCAATTTATCCACCCTATCATCATCTTATTATGTATACAGAACGAGAAATTGCCATGTTAAAAGAAAATATTGAATTAAAAGATAGAAAAATGCAACTGCAATTATATTTGAAAGAACTGAAATCAATAAAACAAGTCCGACATTGATGGAACTTCTTTTAATAAAAATAAAAAACTGCTCATGTGATTTGAATAGAGAGTGAGGATGAGTATAGAGAATATAGACCTACCACTACGCGTTTCGACTCGGCTAAGAGCCTTTTTACAGTGGGCAATTTTCATGAAGCAGGTGGGTGTGGGTGTGCGTGGGTGCAGGTGTGGGTGTAGGTGCGGCTCGGTGTGGGGTGTGTCTTTACTTCACCCACGCCCACACCCACACCCAATCTCACACCCACATCACCTACCCACATCCCACACCCAATCTTACACCCACATCCCACACCACACCCACATCCCACACCCACACACCCACACACATCCACACCCACACCCCCCACACACCCACATACCCACATACCCACACTCGCACCCCACCCACACCCACACTCACACCGCGTAAACATCATATTGGTGGCTTGAGTATCAAATTATTTTTCTTTTTTGATAAATTGACTCTTTTTTTCTCAGAAACTGTATAATGTCATTGGTAGGAAGTACTGTATTATTTTTTCAACTTGTTTTTATTATGCCTATTTTAGCCTTATGACCCTGTTTTAAAGGGACAATTGAGCTTGAGATTGCATACTCCTACCATACAATAGCTTGAAAAGAAATGAAAAGGGATAAAAGCAAGAACCCAAAAAACAGATGAGAGAACAGAGACAAAATAAAGAAAAAAAAGAAGAAGAGGACTAATGGAAAAAGCCAACAGAGTAGGACAGAGATACGGAAAAAGACGAAAAGAAAACGAAAGAAAAAACAGTACAGAAATATTTTTTTCAATTTTCTCTAATCACTAGACACAAATCGACGCAGGAAAAAAATTTCACGTCGTTGCTCTACTGGAAATAAAGGAGAAAAAGACTGTGTGTTTGTTTTTCTTTTTCAAGAATCGTTTCTCCTGGAAAAACAAGTTCATACTACTTCGAATAAGCCTTTAAAACAAACGATTTTTGCCTATGACCGCTCCTTTGTCTGAAGTATCTCCTTTTCAAAATCGTAGATCCTCCGCTGAACCGTTCATCATTCCCTTATTTTTAGAATCTATTTCGTTTTTCTATGTTACTTTGGAACAATAAATAATTCGATTTGTCGCTGACTTGTTCTATTTTTATAATCTCGCGTCGGGCATATCATAGGCAAGCATCCATTAATTGGCTGTTTCTATATATATTTTTTATTTATTCTTAGATAGTAACCAATTCACTCACGGATAAAGAATAAACTCTGATTAATAATGAATGTATGTGTTTATTTCATATTGGAGATGGACTCCTGGTTTTTTTTATCTTTGTAGACAATGATCGAAAATGAAATTGAACGGATACATAATAGCATTGTTTGGATGGACGAACAACAACGACAAGTAAAAATTATTTGAAATAAATTGATTAATATGGCTGATATTATATATTGTTTTCAGCAGGAATTGATAGCTGCCAATTATGCTCAAAGAACAATTAACAATGATCCAGTGGAAGGTATTCAAAAAGAACATAATTATTTAAATAAATTCTACATATACTTATTCCACAATATAGCTTCTCACTTAATGAAGATCATGATATAATTATAATTTAAAACATTGTATAGAATATTTTATTAAATCGTTTCTGTCAGACATTGTGTAAAAAATCGAACCTAAACCGATAAACAAAGATTTTGAGCATACGGGTGTTATTTGTAGATATTTTGTCTAATAACGTACAAAGCTGTCCTGAGCTGATAGAGGAATCGGAGAGTCAGCTCTACAAAATCGAAAAATCATTCTTTTTTTGCTCAATGATTGGCTGGATTTCTTTCCTTATTGCTAATCATTAAAGGCCATTTATCCTAAAAATTATTGATCGTCTCATACCTTCGACTGATCTGAGATACATCAAATGACCTACTATCCTAACTGTGCTTTTTCTTGATGCCTAATCGGACATATATATCAGAATACGGACAAGAAAAAAAGCTCACATAATGAAAATCATCATTGTTCTCAATAACTCTTAGAGTAAAAAATTGAAACAATATCAAAAGTAGTTGAACAAAGAGAGGCAAATGAACTTACGAGCGAGCTGCTTCAGTTGTCTATTTCTGACTTCAATGATTTCTTGCTTATAGATACTACACAATTTTCTAATAAAAATCCTTAAGGGATTTGAATTCTTATTGAGATTTGATCACATTGATGAGTTTTATTTTTCAGAATCCTATGTACTAGCTTCGATAAAAAAAAAAGAATTTTTGAAAAGTCTCTTCGAAATTTGAAGCTTTCAAGAAATGCATGTTTAATCAATATCCATGGAAAAGAGTATATGATGAAAATTTCATTATTTTGAAGAAGCTTTGTTTAACCCTTCTCAATTTTTGATTGAAACTACTCTAGTTAAGTTCTCTATACATACAAAGTTTCGAATCAAAATTCAAAAGTATGAGTTTTCATTAAACTTGGTGTCCTTCTGTAGTTTCTAAAAACGCAGACATTAAAACTTCGATAGCATAGCCAAATCTCAATAGGAGTTCAGATCATTTCAGGATTCTTATTAGAACATTATATAGTATCTATAAGCAAAAAATAATTGAAATTGGAATGGAACAATCAAAGAGGTTTCTTGGTTAGTTGCCAGTCAAATAATAGCGTTCACATATAGAAGTCTCACATGCTAACTAGATAATATAGCTGAGAGGAAAAACTATAGAAAGGAACAAATTTTGTTCTTGCAAACATACTTGAATAACCGATACATCTATTAATAATAGTTTTACAAAAACTTCAAAACAATTCAATTCGAAGAAAGTGAACAACGAAGAACTATTTTTTAGTATTGATTTTTGCCAGAGAAAAGAACTTTTGTTCAGTATTTGACCAGAGTCACTGATTAAAATAGTAATGTGCCTATTTTTGAAACAAAATAATGTAACATAACTCCATAGTAGTAGAAAACGACGACTAGTTTTGTAAAAATAATTAGGCTCTTTATAAGATCATTTTCAGTTTTCGAAAGCATTAAAATATAAATCTTTTCAAAGAACCTTTTTTTATTTAATAAAACGATTACACAGCAGTTATAGTTTTTAGAGATATGTTCTTTTCTAAACAAATTTGCTTTTTAGGTAATCACTGATAAATGATGATTCAGAACACATCCTCTTTTTTTTTGTGTCATAAATATATCGTCATGCAGTTTTTTTCCAACATGACTTTGATGATTCATTCCGGATTTTAAGTAAAGAATACACATAGTGCTGAATCAGTGTTAGTTTATATTATTTTGAATATATGATTTTTGTACCTCCATTCACTAGATTTGTAAATTTGAAAAATTTTAAACGGACACAATTATTTATACGTTGGTTGTTTACAGATGAAAGATATCTGACAGATACGATTACAGTTTAAAAAAAAAACAAATCTAGAATTTAGGGTGGGTGTGGGTATGGATATGAATGAAGCGAAGATTGACATCCACATCCACATCCAACCACACTCCACACCCACATCCATCCGCACCCCCACCCACATCTACACCCACCCACACCCACACCCACACCCTTGTTACGGGCAGTTAATGGCAACCGTTATGATTTCAAAAATATCTATGGGCAATAACTGTTCAAGCACTGCATAGCTCAATAAATCCATGGGCAATAACTTTTGGAGCTATGGGCAATTGCTCAATGGCTCTACCCCTGGCTATGCCATTGACTCATTGGTACTTCCTTACAGTAGGCCTTGAGGATCCAAGGGTACTCTGGGAATGTCCGAACCAGGGAATAACCGAACGCGAGAATCCCGGTCTGTTCCCGGGTCCGGTGCATGCGTAGTTGTGGTAATTCCTGTATTAGTGATAGCAAGGATTTCTGCATATTATGTAAATATTCGATATAACATCTATCAACGACAGAATATGAATAACCATCCTAAATAGGAATCCAAATAGAAAGATCAAGTTGAAGAGTGTGCGACCTACACTCAAAACTTTTCATCGTAATATATGATACTTCTCCATCATAGACTTGGTTTCTTGAAAGGAAAAAGTTTTTTAAATTGGCCTAATCTGGTAAATTAACAAAGGACAAACAAA